CTTGAGGTTTTAACCCAGGAAAAGAAAGGGCAAGAGGGGGAAGGATCTACAATATGTTATGAAAATAAATGCAGCCAGGCATGAGGATGCGCATCTGCAGCCCAGCACTCCGGAAGGTTGAAGCCAAACGCTCAAGACCTTGTCTCAAAATTAAAAAAATAAAAGCATAAACTAAAACACAGCTGGGGAGTAGCTCCATATGAAGGCTCTGAATTCAGTTTGTAGCAACACACACACACACACACACACACACACACACACACACACACGCCAAAGGTGAACACACTAAAGAGAAGATGCACAGATGTTCAGCAGCCCATCAAAATCTCCAAACGAGAACTGGCCAGATAGCTCAGCAGACTAAAACGCCTAGTTAGGCAGGCACAGGGACTGGGCTGGCGCCGCCCCCAGGGCGGCTGGGACCAGGCTTGGTGGCATGTGCCTATATTCTCAGCGCTTGGGAAGCTGAAAACAGGAGGATCACTATGAGTCTGATCTATGTAGTGAGGCCCTGTAGACCCTATACTAAATACCTAAGAAAAACAAAAAACAAACAAAACCTCTGAATGAATTCCTCCATATTTTCCTGATTCCCTTACAAACGAATTTGGAAAAACAAACCTGTAATTAATCCTATATATTGTATCATTGTAAGTATCCCTGGCTGAATACCACTATAACACAAACACAATCATGATATCCTGAGAAACTCCTTCAGTACACTCACAAACCAGTACCAAAAGGCCACCTGATTTTGAGTAAGGAAGAGAAAAAAAAATTGTTCACAATTCTGTTTTGCAACGTACACATGTTGATTATCTTTTTTTTTTTTTTTTTTTTTTTTTTGGGCAGAACCCGGAATTGATCTCAGGCCTTGCACTTGCCAGAGAAGTGCTTATTCCACTGAGCCATCTCCCCAGCCCTGATTATCTCTTATTAAAAAAGCTTGGGATGCAGGGCTGGGGAAGCTGAAGACAGCAGCATCACTACAAGTCCACGACCTTGTATTCAATACATAAAAAATAATTTTTTAATTTTTTAAAAGCTTGGGATCACCAGGATTTTGCACTAACATTTTTCCAGATTTTGGAATAAATGAATATAGAAAATGAGATAAACTGGGGGCATGACTTAACCTTAAACTAGAAGTTCATTTACTTTTTACATTTACCAAAGCGTGAAGAAATTTGTATGATCTTTATGGAGTCTGCATTTGAACTGCTGCTAATGACACGAGGTCAGGCTCAGAATTTTCCAAAAGATTCCATTTCCCAAAAGTTCTAGTTTGCAAGTAGTTGTGGATTTTGGACTTTTTGATTGGGGATGGTCATCATCTGTTTCAATAACTGTTTTAAAAAACCATGATATAAGAGCCTAGAATTAGTTAAATTATAGCATCCTGGAATAGAGGTTGATGGGGATGACTGATAACATGCCACAATGCTGCATTTATTTTTGATAAATTTATAGATTCAATAAGCAAAGTATTAGGTTATAAATGGTTTTAGTGATTAGTTTCTTGGTTTGGCTGAAAATCAAGAACAGATTGGATACTTTGTTCTACATGCTTTGCTTACTCTAAATTCAGTCTATCAGCAGTCAGAAAAAAATGGTTAAACAAGGCTACCCATTGAACAAGTTTGACCATACTTTTGTTTTGCTTTAGTGACTCTTTACAAGTTCCTTTTTTATGAGAAACAAAACGGGATGTCACAGCACCTTGTGAACTATAATACCAATCATATAAAAAAAATGGATAAAGAACCAGAAGATTCTAAAGGCATTTTAGATTCCGTGAAAGCATATATTCATAGAAACAAAGATATAATGAAAATTTAGCACAGAATCTAGACGAGTAACTATAAATGTCATATCATTTTACACTGCAAACTTAATACCTATAAAATTTACCTATAAAATCTTAATGACTTAATAAACATTTTTAAGGAGCATTAGTAAAATTGAGGGAAATTACTCTATTTGTTTCTTGAAATCATTTTTCTAAGTGGAAGAAAAGCTTATTAATGAGTTCTGACAACTTTCAAAGATAAGAGTTGAATTTTCTTGTCCAAACATTTGGATAAGGAGCCATATTCAACAAGTCATGGCAGATTCCTCAAGAAAAACACAAAACAGAGATGATTCAACAATTTCAACATAGAAATAGGTCTGTAATGCTGATCCCTTGCCTAGAACAAAAAAACATGATTTTTTCCCTCCTTCAGCTGTATACTAAGCATTAATTTGTGAAGAATAAATGACACATTAGAACATTTCATCATGAAATATGTTTTCACATCGCACTCTGATGCAACTTACCTCCTAACCAGGTCTTTGTATTTTCATTATAATATTATACAATTTGATTTTTGAAAGCATGGGTTCACTTCATAATAAATCAAAATAAACTATGCATATTGAATTAGAATTATTTTTTGAAATTCAGTGTTTGCCATAAACCTTACAAGAATCATCATGTATCTTTAGAGTTAAAAAATGTTTTATTTGGAAATGTGTTTTGAGTGTATAAAACTAGGACTACGTATTAATTACGAAAACATATACTAACATTTTACATTTCCTGTTTCTAATATTAGGGTAAAAGAGTATTTCTTAGTTTATGAAGACATACAGAATTTGCTTTGAGTTTGACATTCTTATGGAATCCACTTATTAACATTTTCAGAATCACTAGTAGGAAATTTTCTCATTTGAGTTTACTCTTATGAATAATAGACTATTCTAAATAAAAAATTCCTTTAAAGTTTTTAAGTGATGTTTCCTGGTATTTATTTTATTAAAAACAACTTTTTCAGCACTGAACTTTGAAATTCATATTTCTCCAGTACAAATGGAAGCTAACATTAACTTGCATATAAACATGCTTGTGTTGTTTTCTATGCAGGCCGCTTTTTACAAAGGTAAAACCCTAAACAGCAAATCTAGATGTTATGTGTTGAATATACATGCGCACTGTGCTTGGGTGAAAGGCTGTTCTGAATTACATTTCAAAAGCTTTTAATGTCATAGTCACCCAAGAAGTACTCAGTGTTATTTCTTAGGATCAATCTCCTAATTAGGCTACATAATCAGTTTTTATTGTACGGAATCCTGGAAAGCTTGGATGGGGGAAGGATCCTGTGAATTCCAGGAAGGGGTTCTCTGGCCTTTTCACTTGCATTTTCCTGCGCAGTGACTCTGTGAAAGCAGAAACATAGCTCCCTGGAGATAGTTTGTACAATCCTAGTGGTCAGAAAACTGGGATTTCAAGAAGAGGGAAAGGCAAGAATGATGAGCAGGCACTCTGTCAGAGAGCAAAGGGTATCAAAGGTCAATTTAAGAAGACCTCTCAGGCCATTCCCAGCTGTGGCTCAGCTCCACACCTCTGATCTTGGCGGATAGCTGTGCTAGTGACAGATTGGAGCGCTACCTTGTAGTTTTCACCCGGGATTTGCCCTTAGATCTTCTGGAAAGGAATGAAGTGCAATCCGGTAGCCAAGAAAAGCTTCTGAGAGCAAACTGCAGTTCTGATCCCAGCATCTGCTCTCTCTAGCCCTAGATGCCATCCGGAAGCGCTAAGAGTGCTGGAAGGGAGCAGAGAGCTTTCCTGCCATTCAGTTCTGCATTCCTTGCCCTTTCAACCCTTATTCCTCAGCTTTCTCCAGATCACAGAAAGTTCAATTAAGGTCCCTTGTGTCCTTGGGTTACAATTCTTAGGCGCCTTCACTGCAAAATCCAGCACGGGCAGAAGACAGGCAACCTCCCTTCCTTCCTGGGACCCCAACACTTGCCCCTGCAGACTCCTTCTAAGGACTACTGGGTTAACTTAGCGATTTTCCCTCTTTCCAACACTTCCTGTACCTTTTTTCAACTATCATCGATGAGTATATCTCCTCTCTTTTCTTGTGCGAAAATTAACGAAAATTCCCAGTTTGGAGTGTGCATCCATTCAGCAGAAACCACAGGGAATGTTGCAGCTCCAAGCCACTGCCCAGGAGTCCAGAGCTTCTCAGAACTGGAACGTTCAGAGAATTGGGAAAGCCAGCACCCCACTTCCGGACCCAGTCACATTCCCTGTCTAGACCAGTGTGCCCTGGGGTGTCAGCAGCCAGAATGTTGTGCGCCCTTGGGCACCTCCAGCCCATCGCTCCTCCGCCCCTTCACGTCCACCCACTCTGAGCAACTAGCTCTCAGCCCGCGTGCCCGCTCTGCTCTGCCACCCCCTCCTGTCTATACCCCAAGCCCTCTAGAAAAGTCAGGCTTCCCTTTCACCTCCTCATCTGGTCACTAGAGAAGTTTTGCATCCCCGGGATCAAAATGATTTCTCTCCCTAGTCAAGAAAAGCGTCCCTCAAAAAAGTAGAAGATCGCCATAAACTTTGGCGCCGCGGACTCTCGTGTCAGTGGGCGAGTGCGTGTGCACACACCTGCTTGCACACAGGCGCAGGTACACAAGCTAGAGCGCACACACTGCCTGCCACCGGGCAACGCTTAAGGGCACATTAAACCCACTTGCTATAGCCTGCAGGGACGCGCGGCGGTGATGGGGGATCAAAAAGAGAATTTCCTAATGGGCTTGGGCAGCGGGGACCAGAAAACGGTGATTCTTAAACACACGCATGTTTCGGAGCCTGCACCCCAGCAAGCAGCTCTACCCAGAGGCGCACACTTTGGAGAGCTAGCCGACCTCCGCGGAGTCGCGGTGTAGGATTCTCCCCCCAGGCACAATTCGCGTTCATCTCCCTGACTTCTCGGTACGGTACACACCAGCCCGCGCACTTGAGGACGGCCACCGAGGCGCTCCTGCAGCCCTGCCTCCGTCCCCACGGCGCCCGGGCAGGCGCGGGCCCCTCTCCCGGCCGAGCAACAAGCGGGCTGTAGGTGAAGGGCCGGCGCCTCTCCGCTCGCATCCCCGCGCGGGTCGCCTCTCCCCGCCCCCACCCCCAAGCCGCCACCCGGCCCGGGCGCGCGGGGAAGGAGAACGCCGCGCGCGGAACTCACCCCCAGCTTTCTGCTGCGGATCTTCACGTAGCCCTGCTTGACGATGTCGTTAAAGTTGGAGGCCATGGCCAGCGCGTGCGGCTCCCCGCGGTCGGGAGCCTCCGGGTGCCGCCGGGTCCGCGCAGCTCTCGCATCCAGCCCGGCACCTCAGCAGCCGCGCCGCCGCCGAGTCCTGCCCGAGCTCCCGCCGGCGGGGACGCGGGGTCA